CTTGCCGCTGGAGAAGGTTTTTGGGAGCTGTTGGAACTGGTACGAGCCGCATATGTTCAGAGCTGCTGTGGGCCAGCTGAAACAACGACTCAAATTCATATGGTTGTCGATATAAAGGTCCTAGACAGGATTGTTGATGACGATGACCCGAAACATATCAAAATCTCATTTGGCGAAAGTTTTTCTCGAGTTGGCGAAAGTAATTTGTTTGGCGAAAGATATGGCTAAAGATGTTCTTTCTGCTGCTGTTGCTTCTGCTACTGCTACAACAACAACTACTACTAATACTAACTACTACTACTACTACTACTACGACTACTACTACTACTACTACCACCACTACCACCACTACTACTACTACTACTACTACTACTACTACCTACTACCTACTACCTACTACCTACTACCTACTACCTACTATACCTACTATACCTACTATACCTACTATACCTACTACCCCTACTACCCCTACTACCTATACTACCTATACTACCTACTATACCTACTACCCCTACTATACCTACTACCCCTACTACCTACTACCTACTACCTACTACTACCTCCTACTACTACTGCTACTACTACTACAACTACTCCGACAATCCTGCTGCTGCTGCTACTACTACTACTCCTGCTGCTGCAGCTACTACTACTACTACTACTGCTACTACCACCACCACTACTACTCCGACAATCCTGCTGCTGCTGCTACTACTACTACTATTCCTGCTGCTGCAGCTACTACTACTACTACCACCACCACCACTACCACTACTGCTACTGCTACTGCTACTGCTACTACGACTACGACTACTACTACTACTACCAATAGCTACTGGTACTAGTACTAGTACTAGAACTAGTACTAGCACTAGTACTACTACTACTACTCCTACTACTGCTACTACTACTACTACAACATATTTCGGCGGAAGATAAAACGCAGGAAGGCGAAAGTTTGGCCAAATTGTTTTTGGCTAAGATGACGGATCCCGGATAAAGGAGTTTAAATCAACGCCCATAAAGTGATCAGAATGCTCCATCACCGCTCTTCAACTTCCCCGTGTTTAAGGTCCAATTTGATAGCCTTTTCTTTCAAATTGGCGTGACAAGCTTGTGCTCTTGCAGGCGTCTTCAGCAGCTTGTGGATGGCACGCAGACCTTCTCCCACCCCCGCGTGTCAACAAGCTGTTGCTCTGAGCGTGTAGCTGCAAGCCGTCGGCCAAGGACACCCTGGAGCCAATGTACGCGGAGATCGGACGCCGCCGCCTCAAAAAGGCCTTAAAGCCCTGGAGATGTTTGCTTTCTCGAGACCCAAATGTTTGGTTACCGTTCCTGGCAGCACCGTCCGGAAGCCGCTTTGGCCAAATATTTTGCAGAACGCGCCAGCCAGAACATTGAGACGAGGGCCTGAAGCCAATTCTGTTTTTCCAAACCTTTAACCTCGAGTTCTTGTGTCTCCCCTCGCAGCTGCTCATTCCAGACATTCACATACCGCTGGAGACAGCGAAGCAAGGCGCCCCGAGGAGCCAAGTGGCTAGGCAAGCAGCCACGAGGGCCAAAAACCATGGTCTTCAGTGCAGTTGTGCGTAAGCAGCTCTTGTCAAACTCACAAACAATCGGAGCAACGTATTGCAGCTGCTGCGCGGGCTGCAGGGCACCTCCTTGCCATGAGCGAGTCAGGACAGCTTTGGTCCAAATTTTGAGTTTCGGTGTTCTATTTTGCGAAGATTTGAGTAGCCGTTTTCGCAAAGTACGTTTGTCATAGAGATATCATTTCACAACGATTTTGGCTCATAGGCTTCCTGACCTCCGGACTCTGGTCCGTGATGATGCTTGCCACCTGCGTTTGTGTGCGAGGAGCACCGACAGTCTTCATCTATTGCAGAGCGATTGGGCAGTTTCAACTTCATTATTGACCGGTTCCACGCGGCTGGACATGTTGGAGACGTTTGTCGTCCACGTTCCCGACAACAAGTCCATTCTGTCCACATTTCCGACAGACATTGCGGAGACTGCGAACAGCCACTCTCTCCTCTTGGGCGCATAGCGCGCCATATGAACAAATGTTTCTGCAAGCTCTTCCTTCAGGACGCCCTGCGCACTTTTGTACTGCAGGTGGAACGCTAACAATTTTGACTTTGGATTCGTCTTGAGCCCGAGGGCCAACTTTGCGCGCCTGCAGGCTATCAATGACAGTGTCAGAGCGAAGCGAAAACGAGGAGAGGTCTCTCCAAGTGTTTATGCTGCTGCTCAAGATCAAACTTGTTGCTTCTGAGGAAGGCTGTCAGGTTGCCAAAAGAAAGAGTAAGAAAGGCGGGTCTCGATATCTTACATGTGGCGACTTCCCACTGTCCAATAAGTCTTGCTTGCAGCACCATCCTCAACCCTCTTCCCAATGGCTTGGGCACCGGCCCCCCAGGATGCCCTTGCAAAGACACGTGGCGCCATTCACGAAAAGAAGCGCGTTATAGTATCGTGTGATATCGTATTGGGCCTCTCCTTATCGTCCGGACATTTCTCCTTCCGCTCCTTGCGCCAGTCCGGCCCTTCAAAGCCGCTCCAGCTCCAGCGAAGTCAGCGCCAGCGCCTCAGACACAGAAAGACATCTGGTGTAATTAAGGGTTTGGAGGCGCTGGTATTTGTGCAACTCCAGCGCAATATAGCATTTATTGAGCGGTTACTCGGATGCCCTTTGCCTTATCTAGCCCGCAACAGGGCCCGGTAACATTAGTGCTCACAGATTTTCATATGTAGTGGGCTATAGAGCCCCGCCCCCACTGACCCGCCACCGGCCACCCGAGCACCAGCCACAGGCCATCGGCCGGCCCCATCGGCCAGCGGCCACCGGCCAGCGGACACGACAAAATTAGCCAATCGCCCCACGATTTGATATATGTAAGGCTTCATTGCGAACGAAATTCCAAGAATCTTGTACTCACTATACTATAGATGTTTTCAGGGCTCTGTAAGCACAGATAAACTTGCTGACTCCCCACTATGAGTGAACAGAGAAGAAAACAGCGTGCTTTGATTTGCTGCAGAGCCTGGCCCATGTATTTCCCTGGAGAAAGAATTTCCGTTGGTGCACTTGCCTTGTTGTGCTCGCCGCAGATCATCAAAGTCCCAGAGCCTATGCCGCCGCAGACCATTGTGAAGAACAAGGCTTCCAATGTCGATATGGTTCGGGCAGACCAGCGCCGCCAGTTTCGCGCGTCACGTTGTTGTTGTCGTCGTTGTTGGCACGAGAAGAAACATAAGAAGCGGGGCGGGATTCCTCAGTGTGCATTCGTTCGGGGCAGGTGATTTACAAGACCAAGCACGTGCAGGTCCAACACATCTATGATTGCGCTGCTGGCTACAGCAATTGGAGATTTGGCTGAACCAACGCCTTCAAACTGGAAAATACATTCGTTTGAGAACCCACAAGGAATTGCCAGTAACTGGCGTGGAGGCAAACCACGGCCATGTTGCTGTATCAGTCATCAAATTCCCAAGTTCGTACCAAGAAGCATGTAATGTAGATTCTTGGGTGGGTTGATCAAATCGAATAAGATGTTGTTTGATTGGTGGCACTTGAGGATAGGTTTTTTGGTGCGGTTTTCCAAGTTTGCAGAGTGCCCCTTCTCCAATCATCACCTAGGCTGTCCGGCTGGTCATCTGACAAGAAAAGCTGGTGCTGTGCTCACGAGCAAAAAGGTTGTCCAGGCCGGTGACAACATGCGAGTGGCACCCTGATGTTTGTTTTGTTTGTTTTATATTTCTATTATTGTTGTAAAGCAACATTGATTGGACATGGAGCTGTCTAAGAGGCTTGACTTAGAGCAAGCAGTGACTTGGGTGCCGTGAGGCTCTCATTCTGGCCATTTGTCAAAGACAGTCGTGACTGGTGTGACTACCCATGAGGGGCCCACCTACTACCACCACACTCATAGCTACAGCACTGGTGACTTGACTGGCGCCACTCACAGCTACAGCACTGGCGACTTGACTGG